GGTCAGTCGGAACATTGTTTGCTAGTACAAATGTGAGATGGTGTAGAGTCGTAAACAAGGTGTGGTAAAGAACATGACAAAGATGATCATTGGAAAGAGAGAGACTCGCTCTAGTCCTTCATGCCGTCAGCTCTGCAATAAAAAGGGAAGAATGGTTAGAAGTGAACCCATTAGGAGATCGGAGAGAAAACCGAACTGACCTGTACAGTCCGACGACGACGGCGTGGTCACGCTCATAGGGCTCCAGCGTCACCTGCTCCAGCGGCTTCACCCGCTCCTGCTGCAGCTTCTTCACCTCCATCGCGAAGACCGACTCGGCGGGCGCGGTCGAGTCGATGCAGTTGGCCTGGAAAGGAGAAGAGAAAGGTTGGGGTTATTCCAAACGCATGAAACAACATTCTTATTATCAAGATCTTAAGAACTGCTGTGATTAAGTGTGGACAGCCATGGAGAGCTGCTGCTCTATCTCCTGCCGATTTAAGACTCCAGCTAAACTCGCTGGCCTCTTGCCCAGATAGCCGAAGAAAGGTGGGAAATCAAAAGCAAATGGAAACAAAGCTCACTTACCTTAATGGAAATGACCACATGGCCGCCAATCTTGAGGAAGTACTGCGCATTGAGGAGGACGATGCGCGCCTGGTCGGGCTGGGCGACGTCCGCGAAGATGGTGTCCACCATGCTCACCAGCATGCGGTACTTGTGCGGGTGGCGGGCGTCCTCGATGATGGGCACCACGTTGGAGCGCTTCTGGGCGACGCCCAGCAGGTCACGGCCGGACCGGTGGCTGAACTCCACCGCGTACACCCGACCCTCCGGGCCGACAATGTCCGAGACGTGGGAGACGGTGGTGCCCGAGGCGGCGCCCAGGTAGAGCACCTTGCTGCCCGGCTTGATGTGAATGTCCTCGACGCCGCCGAGCACGGCCGCTCCGAGCTTCGAGCGGAAGGGATTCCACACGCGGTACTCAATCTTCCCGCCGCCCTCCATGTCCACGCTGATGCGCTTCTCCCCGTAGACGGCGTCGCCGGGCACCAGGTTCTTCGTCACCAGCGAGTCCTCCTTGCCGCGGGCGATGAAGACGCCCGCCAGGCGCTGGTGCGGCTCCACGATCACCTTCTTCCCGCCGCGCATGCCACCGGGTCCGCCGCGGCCTCCTCCTCGGCCACCTCGTCCTCCGAAACCTCCTGGGCTCTTGAAGCCACCGCCGCGACCTCGGCCGCCGCCGAAGCCGCCGCCTCCACCACGGCCACCGCCGCCTCGGCCGCCGCTGAAAGTAGAAATGAAATTGTAAACATTAGAAGTTGAAGAGATGAAATCAAAATGAAAAGAATAGAAGTAGAAAAGTGTATCAACATCATGAAACAGTAGTCTTATTGAAAAGCCTAAGATTGTCTACTGCGATTAAAATTGACACAGCCACCACTTTTGGCGGTGGCTGCTTAGTTTGCCTCTCTCTGATTTAGACCTTCTGTCAGGAGATGATGGAACAGAAGTCATGCCCAGAAGAAAGAGGGGAAGGAGGAAGTGGAAAGAAATAGAAAATGAAAAGTCGAACTTACCCGAATCCGCCTCGGCCATTCGGAGTGCCACCTCGGCCGCCGCCAAAGCCGCCGCGGAAGCCGCCTCGTCCACCTCCTCGGTCACCACCACCACCGCCGAAACCTCCTCGACCTCCACCACGGCCTCCGCCACCGCCAAAGCCGCCGCGGCCACGACCGCCTCCTCGATCACCGAATCCTTAAACGAAGTAAAAGTCAGAAATTAGCAATTTAGAAGCAGGTAAATATTGACATTGCTGTGACCAAGGTGTTCAACCAGTGAATGTCACACCAGATGTCCACCAGATCATGACACTTACCCATTGTGGATAAAAGTAGCTGATGGGGTAATTAGCAGAGATGGATTGTGTTCAGTTTCCCAGTTCCTGTCTTGTGTTGTCGTCGTCGTCGTTGGGATTCTCTGACTGAAACAGGCGCACAGGCAAAGCACAGACAGCGGCGCAGCACCGCAAGCACCGCAGGCACGTGGTCTCGAGCTGCAGCAGCGTGCGGCGGCTGCCCGTCGTAGAGGACGTGTCCCCCGGCGCGGTGGTGAAGAGATTCTCACCAGGTGAAGAGATTCTTATCTTCTTCAGCGGCGGAAGAGTTCTCTAGAGGAGCCGATTTGGGTTTGGGTGTGCACAGAGTTATATTTTGGTGAGTTGTGGATCAATCTCAGGAGAAGATTCAGGAATAGCTAGCTGGAAGCCCTTTGAATCAATCCCAAGTGTCCCAATTACATTTTCTGTTTGGAAGTTTTTTTATATTTGAGCTGATAGCTTCTCTCCTTCGTGATGCTCCGATTCTAGGCTGATTCCTTACCCTTTAATCAGAATATTCCACTTTGAATCCTTTGCATTCTCTCTCTCTTTCCCTTCCCCGATTCATGTCACGTCGTATGCTGACGTCTGCAGCCAGACACTGACTTGGGCTGCACTGCTGCACGTGCTTCAGCCTGTGCTTCTGCTGCTGCTGCTGCCGCCGACGCAGAAGTTTGTTTACGTTCCTCTTCAAAGCCGCTCTCGGCTTCGAAGTCGTCAATTTCTGTCTTTTAACTTTTTTGAATCCAACACCTAAAAAGAAGGCCTCTTCAGCATCATCATCAGCAGCAGCAGCCATGGCTGCACTACCAGCCCTTCAAGGTAACGGCGGCCCTGGCCCTGGCCGCCTTGCCCACGAGTACCTGAGCGACGGCGACTACATCGTCAACGGCGTCCGCTTCATGGACTTTCGCATCCTCTCCGCCGATGAGATTCAACGGCACTCGGTGGTGCGGGTGACCAACTCGATGCTCTACGACGGCGGCACCAGCAATCCCTCGCGCCAGGGCCTGCTCGACCGGCGGCTAGGTAAGTAGAGAGAAAGTGGCCTGACGCAATACCGAGCCAACACTCTTTTCGAACTTCCATCTCAAACTTCCATTTCCGCCCCATTTAGGCCTCAGCTCCCGGAACGCCAAGTGCGACACCTGCTTCAAGGACTGCAACACCTGCGTGGGCCACTTTGGCTGCCTGGAGCTGGTGGTGCCCGTCTACCACGTCGGCTACTTCACCTACACCCTGGAGGTGCTGCAGCAGATCTGCAAGCGCTGCTCCCGGGTACTGCTCACCCACGCCCAGCGCGCCCGCTACCTCCCCCTCCTCACCGAAGACCTCAGCCCGCAGCGAAAGAAGCTGCTCCACAAGGAGCTGATTGCCCTCTGCAAGAAGAACGTCCGCGCCTGTCCCTTCTGCGACGCCCCCAACGGAACGGTCAAAAAGTTCGCCTTCCTCAAGATCTTCCACCTGCAGCAGGCCGTCGACTCGGTGCTCGTGGGGAAGATCTTCGAGCAGCACAAAGCGGCCGTCGAAGAGGTGGAGGCGTACTTTGGCGCCGCCTGCGAGTTCCTCGCCCCCCACAACGTCCTGAAGCTCTTCGAGCGCATCCCCAAGGCGGACTACCCCTTCCTCCTCCTCTTCGACAACACCCCCATGGACCTCATCTGCACGCACATCCCCGTGCCGCCGTCCATCATCCGCCCCTCCTCCCACAACTCCAACGGCGTCCGCTCCACCGAGGACGAGCTGACGATGAAGCTCAATGAGATTCTGATCGCCAACGAGGCCCTCAAGAAGAAGCTCTCCGACGGGGTCATCTTCATCCAGGCCCTCGATGCCTGGGACTTTATGCAGATCCTCGTGGCGGTGTACATCAACTCGGACGTCCGGAACCTCCCGCCGCAGCACTCCAACGTCGCCAGCGGCCTCGGCATTGCCCAGCGCCTGAAGGGCAAGGAGGGCCGCTTTCGGAACAACCTCAGCGGGAAGCGGGTCAACTTCAGCGCCCGCACCGNGCCTCGGCATTGCCCAGCGCCTGAAGGGCAAGGAGGGCCGCTTTCGGAACAACCTCAGCGGGAAGCGGGTCAACTTCAGCGCCCGCACCGTCATCAGCCCCGACCCCAATCTGGGCATCAACGAGGTGGGCATTCCCCTCAAAATCGCCCAGGTGATGACCTTCCCGGTGGCCGTCACGCCGCTCAACCTGCTTCAGCTGCAGGAGCTGGTGAAGAACGGCCCGGCGCAGC